TGTCAAAATTTATTTTTCCTTTGTTGTCCTCCATCCCCCCCCTGTGAGGGTGTCCACATCCCCCGCACCCCCTAGTGTAGTGCCGCCACTGATTCTGCTTCTAATAGAGCTGTATTTGGTATGAGGCCTGTAGGGTAAGTGCATTTGGTGTCAGTCGTGTCCTGTAATTGACATTTTGTTTTTGCTAAGTCAAATTATTACTAAGTCAAAGTATTTCTAAGTCAAATTATTCTCATAAGTCACATTGTTTTCATAATTCAAATCATTCTTATAAGTCGAATTGTCCTAAGTCAAATTATTTCTTAAGACAAATTTCTCCTACGCTCCTCCTTCCTAGGCGACGGTCAAAGAATTTGGCCATTTTGCCAATACCATACTGTCATGTCCCTGTGCCTTGCATTCGTCTGAGATCACCGGCATTCGTCTGAGATCACCGGCATTCGTCTGAGATCACCGGCATTCGTCTGAGATCACCGGCATTCGTCTGAGATCACCGGCATTCGTCTGAGATCACCGGCATTCGTCTGAGATCACCGGCCAGTTCGAAGAAAAATTATGCAACTACAACGCAACAAACAGAGGAACTGCGCAGGAAATACATTTGAGATATAAACGGATAAAGATGCTTGCGTACAATAGAAAGCAACGATGGCTGACTTCAATGGTCCTCATACGGTCGAACGGATTTAACCCGCTTTCGGTTTTGTTCAAATTATAAGTTTTTGTTCCAGGACGGGGGGAGGAGGGCAGAAGGCTGGTGTTTTGCTTTTAATAAACATTTCAATGAACATTGTATGGTAACAAAAAAGAAAAAATGCTAAAATATTTGAAATATATTTTTGATGGATGATTAACAGACCTGGAAACAGTAACAGAGATCCGTACAAAAATTACGGTTTAAACAGATTGCCACCAGTGTTGTCATGGATACGTTTCTTGTTTACATCATAAACATTGTGGCTCTCCGAGGTTTGCAAATTGCCATCATGGAATCATGCGTCTTGATTTCTTTCAAATAGATTATGCGTAATGACGTAGGCCGCCATGTTAAATCGTTTGAGAAAAGCGTTCCTCATCCAACTTATTTTACTTGTTTGAGAGCCTTTTAACTGTGCATCGTATTGTTGCTAACACTGCTTTAGAAAAGTTAAAGTAACTGTGTAGTAAGTTGACGAGCAGTTCGTTTAGAAAGCTTGATGCCTCTCTCATCGCTTGATTTTACTCCACGCTGGTTCTTAAACTTTTCTTGACATAAAACATCCGCCTGGTGTTTTAGTTATATGATAGGAAATAAAGGCGTGAGGTGGCGTAGGAAGGGGTGAGTGGGTTGGTCCTCCTCCGGCGGCACTGAGGTGGCGTAGGAAGGGGTGAGTGGGTTGGTCCTCCTCCGGCGGCACTGAGGTGGCGTAGGAAGGGGTGAGTGGGTTGGTCCTCCTCCGGCGGCACTGAGGTGGCGTAGGAAGGGGTGAGTGGGTTGGTCCTCCTCCGGCGGCACTGAGGTGGCGTAGGAAGGGGTGAGTGGGTTGGTCCTCCTCCGGCGGCACTTTTGTCTTTAATGGAGAAGGAATTTTTGGCTAAATCAGTTTTTTTACGTCACAGGGGGTTGTGGACAATCTTGAACCCCCCTCCCTTTTGCCGGACCTAACCTTAGATACGTCACTGGAACAAGTAGTAACATAAGGTGTTTACAAAATGTAATTAGAAATTATTTTAGAATAACACGTTTTACCTTTTAATACTTTGTGAGATGACATCGGCTGTCATGTGACATTGTTTTTAATATCGTGGACCAAGTATCATTATGTTCTAGTGCACAGTGACTTGTTGGTAGCACAGTGACATGTTAGTAGCCCTGTAACATGTTGTTAGTTGGAGATTGGCGTGATGATGTCAACTATGTTCTAGTTCCAGGGTAAATGTAGGTCGCAGGAGATTGGCCTGGTGAGAATAAACAATCAACAATTTTTATTAATTGAATTTAAGGCTTTATAGCTTTGTTATTAAAAATCAATTTTACTGTGTTCTTCAATTTTCAACATGTTTCTTACGAATTTTTTCAACACACACAGAAGACGAGGGGTGGAAAGGCGACCAAATGGTAGCCTGAAACAAAGTTGGATAGAGGGTGTGGAGTCTGAGTTAATTCGTCAGGGACTCATTGGATGGATAGAGAGTGTGGAGTCTGAGTTAAGTCATCAGGGAGTCATTGGATGTATAGAGGGTGTGGAGTCTGAGTTTAGTCGTCAGGGAGTCATTGGATGTATAGAGGGTGTGGAGTCTGAGTTAAGTCATCAGGGAGTCATTGGATGGATAGAGAGTGTTGAGTCTGAGTTAAGTCATCAGGGAGTCATTGGATGGATAGAGGGTGTGGAGTCTGAGTTAAGTCCGAGGAGACGACATGCCATAGATCGGTCTTAGTAGAAGAATATTCTCAATGCGGCCAGAGCTCCAAGGTCTATAACGCCATTGATGCTGATGGGGACACATTCTCATTCTAACTTTCCTAAACTCCTACCACACATCTTTGATACTACCACTCTGCTCTAACACCTGATAACCTGCACTACCACTCTGGTCTAACAAATAAGTTCTAATATCAAATAGTTGTGAATTATTTATTTCAAATACAACAATATTAAATTGATCCTTAATTAAATTATATCAATCTGATTTTGTCTTCGTATCACCTATCTAATGTGTCTAACGCATGCAGGCCAGAGACAAATTTAACACAATTTTGCTCTAAGACGAAGGTGCAGCTTATAGAGTAATAATTATCTAATCAGATCGAAAGGGTTGAAATAATCCTTTTTAATTAAGAACAGTCGATGTCAGGAATATTGAGAACATAAGCTGATTGAGCCTAATATCAAGGTTGATCTTCTTTACAATCGAATGTTGTCCCCTACGTCTAAAAGTTAAAAAGACAAAACTACTGAGATAGATGATGAATTCTGAAGAAAAATGTATGTCCGTCGTTGAACTGGGTCAGCAGTGCCTAATTCATTCTGTGGGAAGCCCGCTACAACGGTAGGCTCTTATCAACTTTTAATGTGTTACGAGGCGCGCTGGTCACATACAATACAACATACAACATGTGTGTATGGAGTTTGAACTCGTCCTTTAAGTGAATTGACTGTTTCGTAAGGCCAGTAGATGTTATTGGTTGATATCCAGTAAGGTACTGTACAGTTTCTGTGTCGAGATTATTGATTTTAGGCAAGTTGATATTATTTCTTGATATCCAGTAAGGAACTGCACAGTTTATGTGTCCAGATTATTGATTTTTTCTTATAAATATATATATATATATATTAAGCCCAAGTTACAGCAATAGTCATGGGCGCCCGCAGAAAACTTTCGGGGTGGGGGGGGGGAAAAAAAATCGATTAACTTTCCAGGGGGGGGGGGGCAGAAATTTTTAGTAATGTTTTAATATAGTTTTCATTTACTTTGGCGTATTTGTACGGTGAACGAGCGGACATGACATCAGCTTAGTTACTTTCTCTTTACTTTAATAATTTTTTTGTCTATTTTTTGTCTAAAAAAATTGTATCCAATCAACCCAGGGGGGGGGGGATGCCCCCCATGCCACCCTCCCCCCCTGCGGGCGCCCATGGCAATAGTGTTAATGTTTAATCTAATGCAAAAATTCGGAACCTGTAAACAACTTTCACCCCTGATATTTGCATGCGCTGTTGACTGAATATAATGAGAACCGTTGCATTAAGCTGCAAAGTAAGCATGTGGTCATCTTTAGGTTGGTTGGACCTCTTATACGATTGAACCGTTCAAGTCTGTGAAAGGGCAGCTAACTCTTAACAAACTATGAGGCTCAGTGAAGCTGGTCTATTTAAGATGATTGAACTGAAATCATCGAAATAAATCATTCGATAGTTTAAAAACATTACGTTTCTCATTTCGATTGTATTTTTTTACAGCTCAATCTGGTTGGATCACTGTGACGGGGGCGCCACCCCACCCTCCCTTTCTCTCTCGCTCTTTCCTCCCCTCTCTGTCTCTCCCTCTCCCTCCCTCTCTATCTCTCTCTCTCTCTTTCTTTATGTCTTTCTCTCTTTCTCTTTATGAATAATTGTTCTCTCTTTCTCTCTCTGTCTTTCTCTCTCTCTCTTTCTCTCTCTGTCTTTCTCTCTCTCTTTCTCTCTCTCTTTCTCTCTCTTCTCTTTCTTTATGTCTTTCTCTCTTTCTCTTTATGAATAATTGTTCTCTCTTTCTCTCTCTGTCTTTCTCTCTCTCTCTTTCTCTCTCTGTCTTTCTCTCTCTCTTTCTCTCTCTCTTTCTCTCTCTCTCTTTCTCTCTCTCTTTCTCTCTCTCTCTTTCTCTCTCTCTCTCTCTCTCTGTCTTTCTCTCTCTTTTTCTCTCTCTCTTTCTCTCTCTCTCTTTCTCTCTCTCTTTCTCTCTCTCTCTTTCTCTCTCTCTTTCTCTCTCTCTCTTTCTCTCTCTGTCTTTCTCTCTCTCTTTCTCTCTCTGTCTTTCTCTCTCTCTTTCTCTCTCTGTCTTTCTCTCTCTCTTTCTCAGTATGTCTTTCTCTATCTTTTCACGTTTTCTATCGCTCTGCACCAATATAAAATATAGTTGGATTAATAGATTTAAAAGGTTGTTTTGTGTGTGTTTTTTAACGTCAATCTTGAATATTAATCGTATTTAATTTCAATCAATTACAGCCAAGTGTTTGAAATCTCAATAATCTCTCATACATAAATCTGGGAACTTCCAATCTTCAGGGCGGTTCAGAGAAGGACGGTCAATGTCTGCCTTAGGACTGCCAAATAGTTTTCTCGGAAAAATTGCGACCAAAAATAGTTCCAGCTCCACATAAAGCTGTTTGTTTTGACTACCCATAGTTCTGTCTGAACAGCCCATTGCTCTGTCTGGCCAACCCATTGCTCTGTCTGGCCAACCCATTGCTCTGCCTGGCAATACCTTCAGTCCAAACTTGAATATTAACCATGGTTTCAGAAGAGAAGTCAGCGATTCCTAAAGACAAACCATGGGTCAGCCGGCCTATGAGAAACTGCCTCGTCCTCTCCGTGTCCTTCACCTTCGTCTACACGGCCTACTTGGCCATCCAGAACCTGCAGAGCAGCTTGAACCAGGAGGCCAACCTCGGCGTCGTGTCCCTATCTGTACTCTACGGCACCATCATCATCTTCGGGACACAGGCCCCCATCTTCATCAAGTTCATCGGCGCCAAGCGCGTGCTGGTCCTGGCGTGGGTCATACACATCATCTACACAGCCAGCAACTTCTACCCGACCTTCGCGACACTGATCCCGTCATCAGCCCTTCTCGGGGCCATCGCTGGGCCCATGTGGACGTCCCAGGGAATCTACATCACGGCCGCGGGGGAGAAGTACGCGGCCTTGCAGGGCGTGTCGTCGGAGGGGGCGCTGCACGCCATTCTCAGCAAGTTCAACGGAATTTTTTTCATGTTTTACGAGATAACACAGATCACCGGCAACATGATCTCGTCTTTCGTGCTTTCGGCCAGCTCTTACAACACATCCTCTGGCGTGGACCACAGAATCTGTGGGCCAAATGATTGTCCCTTTGTGTGAGTTGATTTTTTTGGTGATAACTGTAATTAATAATTTCATTGACATTTAAGAATGGGGACCATGGCGGGGTGCGTGGAGGGCCATATAGTAAGTTGATTATTTGGTGACATGTGATATAATTTGTCACAAAGTCAGTTCTATTCTTCAATTGAGTTACTGGGTGGGATGGATGGGTCTGTTACCTGCCCCTATGGCCACTTTGTTTTCATATTTCCATGATGAAGCACATCTAAAAATTCTGATGACAAACCATTCTAAAAATAAGTGTAGGCTAAGTTATGCTAGCGCCGATTTGCCTTGCAATTTACACTCATGCACATTCAATGTACTTGTTATTTTATCCAAGTCTCAACAAATTCCACAAATATTTCAAAACATTGACAGGCCATTGACAAGAGATTGACAAGCCATTGACAAGAGATTGACAGGCCATTGACAAGAGATTGACAGGCCATTGACAAGACATTGACAGGCCTTTGACAGTACATTAACATGCCTTTTACAGGACATTGACAGGACATTGAAATGACATTACGATCTTAATCTTGGTTCTCTTGTTTCAGATCTGCAGGAAATGTAACTTCCAAGATTGAAGAGCCTGAACGCCATGTTGTGTACATTCTCCTGGCCATCTTTCTCTCCTGCAACATCTGCGGCCTTCTCCTCACGCTCTTCGGCCTGCCCCACCACACGGAGGTCCGCGGAGAGTCAACCTCCGTTTTCAAGGACATGGCCAGCTGCTTCAAGATGTCCGTGGATAAACGGATGCTGTTGTTACTTCCCCTGTTCATGGCTCAGGCGATGGCTGTGGGTGTTCTCTATGCTGATTACACAAAGGTAACCATGGGTGTTCTCAATGGCGATTACACCCAGGTAGTCATGGGTGTTCTCAATGGCGATTACACCCAGGTAGTCATGGGTGTTCTCAATGGTGATTACACCCAGGTAGTCATGGGTGTTCTCAATGGCGATTACACCCAGGTAACCATGGGTGTTCTCAATGGCGATTACACCCAGGTAGTCATGGGTGTTCTCAATGGTGATTACACCCAGGTAGTCATGGGTGTTCTCAATGGCAATTACACCCAGGTAGTCATGGGTGTTCTCAATGGCGATTACACCCAGGTAGTCATGGGTGTTCTCAATGGCGATTACACCCAGGTAGTCATGGGTGTTCTCAATGGTGATTACTCCCAGATAGTCATGGGTGTTCTCAATGGTGATTACACCCAGGTAGTCATGGGTGTTCTCAATGGTGATTACACCAAGGTAGTCATGGGTGTTCTCAATGGTGATTACTCCCAGATAGTCATCGGTGTTCTCAATGGTGATTACACCAAGGTAGTCATGAGTGTTCTCAATGGCGATTACACCCAGGTAGTCATGGGTGTTCTCAATGGTGGTTACACACAGGCAGTCATGGGTGTTCTCAATGGTGATTACACAAATACTTTTTGAAAAAAGAAGATCAATATTTTTCAATCCTTTATGTTAACTTCACTATTGTTCGTTGCAGTTAAAAATCTCTGGACAGCTAATTGACCCACATTCTGTCAACCTATGAAGCTGAAACTTAGCACATAGGCTCATAGCAATAGCAACACATTCTTTCAAATGTTCAGTCCCACCCACCAACCCACCCCCCACCCCCCAAATAAGTTTTTCCAGTTTTTCAAGTGGGACATGAAGGCAATATGATGCCACTCATTTCAAGAAGTAACGTTCCCCATAACTGCACCAAATGATGAAGGCAATATGATGTCACTCATTTCAAGAAGTAACGTTCCCCATAACTGCACCAAATGATGAAGGCAATATGATGCCACTCATTTCAAGAAGTAACGTTCCCCATAACTGCACCAAATGATGAAGGCAATATGATGCCACTTATTTCAAGAAGTAACGTTCCCCATAACTGCACCAAATGATGAAGGCAATATGATGCCACTCATTTCAAGAAGTAACGTTCCCCATAACTGCACCAAATGATGAAGGCAATATGATGCCACTCATTTCAAGAAGTAACGTTCCCCATAACTGCACCAAATGATGAAGGCAATATGATGCCACTCATTTCAAGAAGTAACGTTCCCCATAACTGCACCAAATGATGAAGGCAATATGATGCCACTCATTTCAAGAAGTAACGTTCCCCATAACTGCACCAAATGATGAAGGCAATATGATGCCACTCATTTCAAGAAGTAACGTTCCCCATAACTGCACCAAATGATGAAGGCAATATGATGCCACTCATTTCAAGAAGTAACGTTCCCCATAACTGCACCAAATGATGAAGGCAATATGATGCCACTCATTTCAAGAAGTAACGTTCCCCATAACTGCACCAAATGATGAAGGCAATATGATGCCACTCATTTCAAGAAGTAACGTTCCCCATAACTGCACCAAATGATGAAGGCAATATGATGCCACTCATTTCAAGAAGTAACGTTCCCCATAACTGCACCAAATGATGAAGGCAATATGATGCCACTCATTTCAAGAAGTAACGTTCCCCATAACTGCACCAAATGATGAAGGCAATATGATGCCACTCATTTCAAGAAGTAACGTTCCCCATAACTGCACCAAATGATGAAGGCAATATGATGCCACTCATTTCAAGAAGTAACGTTCCCCATAACTGCACCAAATGATGAAGGCAATATGATGCCACTCATTTCAAGAAGTAACGTTCCCCATAACTGCACCAAATGAGATTCTTGAAACCAAAAATAGGGCGAGTGCGTTTGGTGCGTAATATTTTCTTTTGTTTGTTCTGAAATAGTTGTTGAAATAAATCACGCCCTGTTTTTGGGGGGTTGTTTGATTCACAATGATTTATTTTAACTCTGTTGTGACCTTTTCCGCTCATGCCATATTTTAAAGAAAGACAATTGTTTAATGTCATGTACACATAGAGCTAATGTCATTTCCCAGGCATACATCAGCTGCGCTATAGGAGTCAGATGGGTCGGTTACGTGATGACATCTTACGGCCTGTGCACAGCCATTTTTGCCATTAGCATCAACTCTGTGGCCCGGCCATTGGGCCGCCTGGTCCTTTTCACGGTGGCCGTCCTGATAGACACGGGGACACTGATTGGTATGCTTGTATGGGAACCACACGATGAGAGTGTGGTGGTCTACTTCCTGATACCAGCCATTTCTGGGATCTCTGAGGGCATCATGCAAGCCCAATTCAACAGTGAGTGCAGATAGTAACATAAGTTTTGGTTGGGAAAAGGGCGGGTGGTGGTGGGGGTAACATTAGTTTTTTCTAGAAAACAAATGAAGAAAGAGATAGACATTTTGTGTACCTGGTAGCAACATTTGTAATTACATCATAGTTTTTAAGTTCATCATGTTTTTCTCCCTTTATCTTAGCAACAAGAGCAGAGCCGTTCTTAGGCACAGTCAAAATGGGCAACGGCTTAGGGCCCCACTGCGAAAGGGGGCCCCGCCAGGCTCTTTTATTTTTTAGCCTTCAACTTGCAAGTTCATATGAACTAGATATTCTCTAGTTGTGGAATTATCAATATGGTTAGTGGTTACATGCGAGCAAAGAGGAAACAGTGACGAAAGCTGAAAGGAGGTGCTGCAGCGGTGGGTGGTGTTTTCTCCTCATCTCTAGGGGAGCTCCGCCTCCTTGGATGCCACATTCTGGGATCCCTACCCTATGCTCCCTGCCTAGACCCCAAAATCCTAAGAATGGCTCTGAGAATAGATAGTGCATTACATTAAAAAATGGAAATTCGAAAGTAGTGTTACAAAGTATTATTATGAAATAATGTTCTTATAAAATTATTTTAAAAAATCCTCTGTTTATTAAGATGTCTTTTTCCACAGCTCTTATTGCACAAGTCTTTAAAGAAAATATTCCGCCAGCCTTTGCCACATACCACACTTCTAAGGCGACGTCTTTCACCATCACATTCGCCTTGTCCAGTTTTGTATGTCTCAGACAAAGACTTTACATATCAATCGTGCTCTACCTTGTGGGCCTCATCGGCTACATCATATCAGAAGTGATGCTCAAGAGGAGACAGAACTTTGACATGAAAGAGACTGAGGACCAAGGCCCAGATGCCTTCAGAAGTCAAAGGAGATTAGAGACAGATTTCTCATCCTAGCCCCAATGTTGATTCAGTATTAAACGTTTGAAATGGAAGAGATTATTAATTAGAAAAGAATGTTAACTCTTATGGCACGACATCCACGCATTTAATATTAATCATGTTAGGGTTTTCAGCTTCATACACATTAAGCCATCTTACCTCCCCTTTCAAGTGCTATAGCACATACTGTCATCTTACCTCCCCTCTAAAGTGATGTCACGCATACTGTCATCTTACCTCCCCTTTTAAGTGTTGTCACACATACTGTCATCTTACCTCCCCTCTCAAGTGCTGTCACGCATACTGTCATCTTACCTCCCCTCTCAAGTGCTGTCACGCATACTGTCATCTTACCTCCCCTTTTAAGTGCTGTCATACATCAAGCCCCTCAAGTATAACCCATTTTAAATTATATCTTAAAAACACGTCAGTCTAAACAAAAGAATGTGTCCAGATTTTATCATGCATGTGGCCTATTCTTGAAATTAACTTATGACATAAATTTACATTTTATAATTAGTTCATTGTAAGTATTGATTACAATGTAAAGCTATGGGAGCATTGATACATATGGGCATATAAAACTATTACAAGTGAAAAAATTATTAATTTGACCAAAATCTTACAACATATCAAAGCTATAGTTCATATAATATTTCCAAGCCTCTCTGTGTTTTAATGTAGTTATTCCCCCTGATCAGTTCAAGATTGACCTTAATTTAAATATCTGTTTTATTTAACTTCATAACTTCATAGAGCAGTTAAAGTGTTACTCGCTGTGTTGTGATTGCGATAGCAACTAATATTTTATACATTCTTACTCTTTGCTCCGAGACAATCATCAGCTCTTGAATATTTATGTTGATGTTGCAACTGAGCATACACTACACTTGAAATTATTGAATTGTTTCACTAACATTTACTCAGTCAATTCCCTCCTATTTATTTAAATTCAGTTTTTCAAACCAAGTCATCATTTTGACTTAGTTGATCTAACCAGTTGGTTGTTGTTGAATCATCTTATTCACCAAATATTAGGAATATTACAAAAATATATTTATAGATATATTTTGCCTGACCAATGCAAACTCATAATGCATATTTTTCTAAAGTTCCTCAGGACTTTGCTTTGAAGCGACCTACATTTTGGTCACACTTAAATCATAGACTCAGAATTGATTGTTGTTGTTTATTATTACTATTTGTTGTCTAATGTATTAAATGTTTTATATTTTTTTTGCTAGCATTTTTTTCTCTAAAGCTGTAATTTATTTTATAGAGCAAATAGGCTTTCAAGCATATGTGCTGCTGGTGTATCATCAGCTTTTGGCAGTCCCCATCTGGACTTGTAGGTGCGTCAGTATGATGTGTAGTAGGTCAAGTTACATAGAACTAATAGGTTCTCATGTATGTGTGTTGGTGTTTCATAAGCTTGTAGCAGTTCCCATCTGGACTTGGAGGTGCTTCAGTATGATGTGTAGTAGGCCATATTTTCTGTTGCTTTTCTTCCATGTTTTGTCTATAAATGTTAAGAATTTGCCTTTGGAAAATGTTAGTAATTTTATTGTTAAAATATCCTTAAAACATTGTTTATATAATTTAAAATCTGCAAGCTCCAGAAGAATCATAAATAAGTTAAAATGCATTCCTTCTGTGAGGGATGGTTAAAGAATGGACAGGCTATACTGACAGGGACAGGCTATACTGACAGGGACA